TATGGACCAAAATCCACACTTAATATTAGCAGGTTAAGCTTGTGCCGGCCTGGAAGGAACATTACAATCACACAGCTGAGCCCCAGGCCTCGTCCCACAACTTCCATCCACCTCCCTTTGCCAGTGCAGCACCAACAGCAAAGCAGGACAGCACCCAATTTGAGGTGGAATAGCAGTACTGAGACTTGGTATAAACCAAGAGGTGAAACAACTCTATGTAGGCTGGCATAACATGTACATATTTGCTTCCGTTACAACCCACGTTGTCTGAAGACCCACGTTGTTGCCAAGATGAAAGTTCAAATGAACTCAAAGCAAAAATAAATAAAAGTAAAGTCAGTCGCTGCTTTACAATTCAAGTTCACGTGAAGAAACCAACCTGTGAATGCAAAATTAGATCAGCCCAGATTCACAACCAGATTTTGTACATAAACAGATCAAGCTTGTTCAATCCTGCAGTCTTATATTGGTCCCATTTTCAGTATTTTTCTAGTTTCGCCATGTTCTTCCTAAACTGTGGACCCAGGAGTGCAGTATTTTAGATGTATTACAATCACACACATACTGTAGCATTCCCCTTGTATTTTCTGTTTTCTCTCCCTGTACATGCAGGGATACACACTTGCAGATACGACATTTGGAATGGCTCTACCTACTGTCAAGGCTTTGCATCACAACTGTTTCCAGTAGTTTATAACGTTGCCAGACTACAACTGTTCCACCTGTATTTTCCATGCCAAGAGTCTGTCTCAAATTGAAGTCTTTGGATTTGCAAAAACCAAATCAGCTATTTTCAAGAACAAGAATAGGGAACAATATACTACTTTAAGCATAAAAACATTAATAACTGCAACCTCAGAGGAGGGTTTGACAGGCAGGCAGGAGAGGAACCAGTAGGCCACAGCCAAACAAAATAGAGAAAGCAAGTACTGCATAACTACTGTACTGCATACACAATGCAAATTCTTCCCCAAGGAATTATGTCAAAACAAGGTTAAATTTGTCATCGGGACTAATACTTTCATTTAATTTATTTTTATAAATCAATCTGCATAGTGTAAGCTGGCATCCTTCACATTTCAATTTTGCTTACAGTAATAAAACTAACTCTGCAAATCATCCCCAGCTATTAGTTATTTTTATATCTAAGAGCACCAAGTGATAGAAGCTTGGCAGGACAGATCTGACTAAGAGAGAGAGAAATTGTTCTACTTCCCAAACACATCAGAACAAGACCATGCTCCATAGCCTGATTTTAAAGCAGTAGGATGAAAGTGACTCAGCCTACATTAAAATTAGAGGTATGACGAGATTGAGACTGCAAGGTAAGTACTGAATTAAATGCGTTTTTACTTGACTTAAAGAAGCTTTTTTGTTAATGCCTGGTAAAGGAAATACTGGAAATCTAGCAGCTTTAAAAGTCTGTGAAACAGTCAAACCTATGAGGAGGTATTTTATGGAACTGTAAGTGCTACCTACCATCATTGCCACTGTAGGAAAGCCAGAGCTGAGAGAGCACGGGAGCTGCACAGGGCAGGGACGGCACCACGGGCCTTGCTCCCTGCAACGCTGTGGCCAGGGAGCATCCCTGCACACACGACACGAGCTGCCAGGGCGGGAGGAGAGGCAAGGCCAGGATGAAACGGGACAGGCGCTGCACCACACCACACACATGCCTGTCGGCAGCCATGTCCCAGCAGCGAGGGCTCCTGCTGACAACCTCTACAGCCGCCTTTGGCTCCTCCAGACCCCCATTTACCAGGATCCTCCTGGTGGTTCCCCCAAGCCGACCTCTTCCCCCCAGGTGCCAGGAAGCCACTGCAGCCCCAGCACCCGCTCCCCCAGTGCAGGAGGGAGATGCTGCAGACAGGCAAGCGCTCACCTCCCTGCTTTTTGTAGAAAGCAACAACCTGAAATGCATGGCATCATCACTCACCAACAAAGCTTTTCTGAAATCCAATACTGACACAACTTACACAGCTGTAAGTCATTCAGCTCAGAGTAACTCTGACAAGTTTTTCTGTATCTTCTATTGCTTCTCTTTGTGCTCAGAGACAGAAGCACAGTGTTTCTGGAGCCTTTTATAATGAATACTTACTCAACCCCACTCCATATATACACACACACACACACACTTTTAATATATATAAACAAATATAAATCCCTCCAACATCTTGAATGCTAGATGAAAAAAAAAACATTAACTGGAAGAGTTCACTAGGCCAAATGACCAAACTAAGATACTCCCATTCCCCTCCTTCCAGATACACTACTCACAGCCAGGAGGAATACATCACAGCTCAGTGTTTCTGCCTGCTGCCTCCCTAGGCTTCTCCTTTCTCTTATAGGAAATCCTCCAGCTGGCCCTGTTTTGTTCTGTAGTGCATTTTAAATTCAGCTTCTTCGCATCAATTGAATTCAGGTGCATGCAGGCATTTGCTACCTGCATGTGGGTGTTGCTCCTGGTGAGATATCCTTGCTTTCTTCATTGCCTATGTTTCCTTCTAACAAATCCCTAACGAGAAAATTAGAAGCAAAAGCAAATAGAGTAATTCTTTCAATTATTTTCTGCCTTTCTGCAATATATATATACACACACACATTCTTTAAAGAAATGTGAGAAACCAACTACCACCAAAGGACTCTGCGTCTCCCAACATGAATTAACAAAGTCCTGCCTAAATTCATGTTGAATGGTTTGCACAAATAACTGTTGCAGTCTTCTCCCTAATAGGAGGACACAGGACAATACTGTAATAAATTACTATTCCATCCATACAGTCAGTGCTGGCTGTCTCCCTGCACCTCTAGTACAAGCCCAGAGAGTCACTGAGCTGCTAGTGAGCAGCACTGGCACTGTACTCTGGAGGTCAGAATGACAGGCAGAGCCTGGGTGACCAGCTTTTTAGGCATGGGTCATTTTTACTAACCCAGTACTGAATGGCTGTGGTGCATAAGCGAGGATGAGAAACCACAGGCCACCAGCATTTTGATGCTAACAATTTTAAAAAATCAGCAAGACTAAATCACAAAAAATCTGTTACTGACTGGACAATACAGAGTCTTGTTTATCTGGATGGACATGCGTGAAATACAGGTACCACTATAAAACTAATTTGCACCAGCCACTTGTGAACTGTGTTCCAGTCTGAATATGCTCTGCTTCAACAACGACGGCAGTTCATCTCACACTGTATGGCCCATTATGACAACAGGGGGATCTAGCTTTGCTCCGTCTGGAGCACTGGAATTTTTTATTTCCCCAAACCTTTATGCTTAAAAGCAAAATTATTTACAAATCAGTGTCATAAAATACCATGGGCCAAATTTTACTCTAGACATTAATTCTGTGGAGACTTAAGCAAATGCACATTGTGTCTTTCTAAAGTTTTCCTGGGAAGGGTCATGTCCATAACGGGCACTAGGCTCTCAGAGATAAGGGGATGTAGTACATGAAACCAGGTGTCATGCTGTATACCGTGGCCTGGGATGCTTGTGGAAGGGGACACTTGGGTTTGAGCCACTACTGATGTGCAGTTCAGTATCACTTAATATGTCTGAGCCTTGTGTAACAAAAGAGAAGGGGCAGAACTTCTTGTAAAATGTTTGGCTGAAAGCATTGCTCGTAGGAAAAATAATAATGGGGTAGAATTTGATAGATTGAGAGACAAAAGGAATTTTCAGAAAGGAGGAAATTCTCCATTCCTTGGCTGGATACTATGTTCCCATTTTTCTGCAGGAAAGTGCTTTTTGTGTTTGATAAGGGAACATTTTATGTATTGCTTTCTGTCCATCATCTACTGGAGAACAAACTCCATCATTAGTCCTTGCACTGAGTAATACTTTGCTTTACTGAAATGCATACGTTTGTGCAGTAAAGTACTATGATGTTTAAATAACATACATGGGATATTACCACTGTGACAGCCTGGTGTTTGAAAGGGGTGCTCTCCCCATGGCCCGGGAGGGACATTAGAGACCTGACAGTAATGGGGTGTGCAGAGCTGTAATAACTGCTGGCACCATGCGGTGTGAGATGGCCCAAAGCCGCCAGCCCTGCCAGCACCCGGGCACTCCTGCCACCATCTGCACCCGGGATTTCTGACTTAGCAGAGTGATACAAAATATACTGAAAACACAATACAAATGTGAGTTAGCAATTGCAATACACAGTTCGGTCACCATACCAGTGTGATTCCCATTACCGGTCTCCATAATGTGCTCACCGCCATGACAGTGGCTATCCCCAGTCGCCAGGAGGGAATATGTGGGTTGATGCCAGCTCAAGCCCATTGCTCTCTTTGAAATTCCTCTGCTAGTTATTTAGATGTTTTACTCTAGGTTGGGCTGAGCCACTTAATCCCCCCCCATGCCAGTGTGGCTAACTCAGGGACACATTCACACCCCCAGTTGATCCACTCAGCTGTTGATAGCTGGTTATGTAAACCAAAGGCCACCCTCCGGTCCCCTTCACGATGAGATAATGTCAGCTTCTTTGCACTACTCTCTGAGCATCGTGTAACCCTTGTCCATCTACACCGAGCGCTCTTCCCCTGTGGGGCTTATTCAGAGAGCCACCATCCACCCCGTGAGGCTTATTCAGTCACATGCTTTCTAGAAAACCTGTCTGTTGCATCAACCTGTCGAAGGGGGAGGCTACAAATTGGGAACAACTTGCAGGGTGCGCAGCATGGCCTCTCCCAAAGGGATGCTTCTGTAAATGTCAGATGTGATTTTGTGGCAAAGCTTTACACCCTGACCCCTCATCCTCCACAAGGCTAAAGGAGGCTGTGTTCTTGGCAGTCCCTGTATTCACCTCCTGTGTGGTAGGGTGGGGGTGTGACTCTCCCCTCGGTCGTGCAGAGCCTGGCTGGAGCTGCATGACTCAACAAAAGGGCTGGTGGGTCACCCAGGAGTCACGCGAGGAGCGCCTGACCCTCCCGTCTCTTGCACCCAGCCCTTCCACCTGCCTCCACTGTGAGGAGTGCAGGACTGCTTACCCGGCAAGGCACCCACGGGTCTGCATCTCACCACTTCGGTCTCCCAGCAAGGCAACGGCAGTTCCTCCAGAAGTGTCTCAGGGAGAAAGAAAATGCAGTTCAATTACTTGATGTGACCTATTCAGATACGCTGAATTTTGAGGGGCAAAGCCTGTCGGGTTCTGTTCATCCAGCCAGTCCTTGCTTTCACAAGGCCGTGCGGGGACTGCAAGAAAGCATTGATTATGCATGTTTCATAGCAAGCTACTGTTAAGAGGGTGAATAGGAAAACCAAACCCTAGGAGGCCGGCTGCTGGTACAGCTGGAGGGGGTGAATCACTCTTGTTTCAGAAGCAGTATCCTTAGCCTGAAGCTAAAAGAAGCAAAATAGGGAGTAAGGTAGGGCACTTGCTCAGAAGAATATCCTCAGCTGGTTTTTTTTTGTTTGTTTTGTTGTGGGTTTTTTTGATGCTTGACAGCTATTACCACTAAATAGCAGAACCTGTGACAATACAGAGAATATAATTGTTTTGCTCTGAGAATATGGGGCAGCATTTTCACCAAACAAGAATGGACGTGTTGGGTTGTTTTAATTCCTGGCATAGCTGGGCATGTCTTATCTCCGGCTCGAAAAAATGGAAATGCATAATGAAGACAGCCAGTTGTCTTGTTAGGTAAGTACACACAACTTTCACCACAGGATAGGAATTGTTGGCAAGATGTGGTATCAGTACAGAGAAACTTAGTATTGCCAGCTGAATAGATCTGTCACATTTCTTTCTGCAAATGTTATGTCTACTACTACTACAAATAGCACAGCTGAGTGATAAAACTTAAAAAATGTGAAAAAATATTTTCTCTATTTTCAAGTCTGTCTGCCTTGTGAATCTGACAGCATTTTGTTTTGTCAAAGTCATGTTTCAGGCCCATGGGGCCAGCACTTCTCTGACCTTTACACCCATGCTCATCTTTAACAGCAGCAGAGCTTGAACAGACTTTGCAGCAACTCATACAGGACAGAGAAGGCAGTTTAACTAGAAGGAAATAGGAATAAGGTAACCTTATACAAGAATATTGCCCTTAAAACACTGGAACATGCTCTTTAATGTCTGCTGGCTAAGGCCTAGCCCTACAGAGATAGAAAGAATTTCACATTGCCAGAACCTTCCTTCCACGAATAGTCACACTGATTTCATGTACTTCTTTAGGATCAGGTCTTAGATGACACTATTTTTAACTACATGAAGAACAAGCAAGTCTAAAACACCTTAACCCTCCAGCTCAGTCTATATATATTTTAAAGCCATTCTAATATGCACATAATTAATGCGTATATTACTCAGCAAAGAGTAAACAGCAAGTGCTGCAGTAAGTCTCATGTCACTAATTTCATTACTGTACAGAAATATGCTACTGTAAATTACTACATTATGGTGTGTTATAAATAATTAAAACTAAAACTGCAATTGACAAAATGAATGAAGCAAGAACATTCTGTAACCCTGTGTTCTTAATAATTTTCTAATTTGAGTAAAACACTAAATCTGAGTCTGTTTAAGCACAGGAAGGAATTCATTAGTATCATTTATTAATTTGGAAAGCACCTCAGTCACAAAAAAATTAAAACATGTTAAAACCTACACATAAGCCACTCTCAGATAAAACATCAATCTGCATGCCATACAAAATAAACCGGTCCTTTGTCATCTTTCATAGGTCTCCGAGGTGAAGCCGAAGGGAGCATATCACAGCCGTGGTGACCCACCCAGGACAAAGCTCTGCTGCTGACTGTGGGACATCAAGGCCTAAGAAAGAACCCATCCTACCTGGTATCAGAGGACGACGGAAAGAGATGGGCTTCTCCAGTCATCCCAGTTGACGCCACTTGATGCTCAAGCAGGTAAACAAGAACTATGTGTTTCTCATCAGCCAGGGTCTTCCACAGCAATATGTGCTTTACAGCATTGCAGGCAAGACTGATAGCTGAGTGCAGGGCACAGAGTCAGGAAGAATAGGTTCTGCTTTGGCATGTGAATTTAGAGCAGTTCAGCTTTTGAGACCTAGAGATGAGAAGAAACAGATAGGTGAACAGCGTATGAGTAATATCACTGTATCTTTTAGAGGGATTTTAAAGCAGACCAAAGATGCTTTTATGCAACTTCTTAGAACTCTGCTTGCTCCATTACTTCAATCAATAGCAACTGTCAAATTGTTTTTGCAGAGGCTTTCTGGTTTATTTATTTTTATTCTTTAGTTTCACTGAAATAGCAGGTCTCTTTTTTTAGATAGACTTAAAAGGGGCTGACAAAACCTGCTGCTTCATTATCTCCAGGTGAATTCTGTAGAATAGCAGAATAGCTTCTTCACTCCTTTCAGCTTCCTGCTGTCTTCTCTGAAGTACCACAGAGCTTTCCACCTGCCTTTTTTTTTTTCTTTTTAATTTGTTGGTCTTTATTTACAGGACAAAAAGCTTTATCAATTAATCTACTGTATATGCTGTCTGCGCTAGCCCTGACCTTCATCAGAATGGAGAACAATCCCTACTGACAAGTTAGGGCCAGATCCTGCACTGCTTCCTTGCAGTGCAGCACCATGGAGGTGACTGTCATTGCCCACCTTCCCCCTCCAAAGCAGCAGGTGGGATGCTGAGGGATGAAGTCCCCAGGATGAACCTTCATGGGGAACCCATTCCCCATGTGGAGAGGGCCCTGACCCTGTTTCTGTAGCCTCCAAGAAGGGGGTTCCTACATCTCCGGAGTCCACCACGGCATGGAAGGTTCCTTATTGGTGCTGGCTCAGGTGGGTCCACAGGCATCCCTGAGCTGTTGGCTGGATGGTAGACTGCACCCACCTCCCCATCACTGTAAAAGGGGAGAGGCGGAAGGGAAAAGCTTTAAATATCTGCATAACCTTGACTTGTACAGTTACATTGGAGCACATGGAAATCATAAGGGACAGGAATCCTGTTGCTTCAGTGTAAGGCAGCTTCCACCTGGCAGAGTGGGGGCATGAACAGCAAGTGAGAATGGCCCAGGGGAAAAGCTCATTTGTAACTGCCCTGTGACAGTGGGAAAAAGGATCCTCCACCCATCTGCTACTGCCTACACTCGCTATGGCACCCTTACTTGGAGGCTGAGCAAAGGACCTAACAGCCTGTTCTGGTACAAGACACCCCACAGGCTACCCCAGGGAGTCTCTGGACCATATGAGGAGATTCGTCAGGCACTGGGCGATGCTGGGAGAGAAGAGGATGCTCCTGCAGGGATGCACTTCCCTAGGAGATCTTGACTTCTGGACAAAGCCTTGTAGCTGAGAGCAGAAGCGTGTAATACCATCCTGCCATGGATGAGGACACCGGTGGGTCTGCACTGGGTATAAGCAAGGACAGTTTATAATTCTCACTTTTTTATAATAATGACGGATTAATCTTGTCTTTGCTGCACCACCAGGACAGAATAGCTGACATAAGACTCCTCCAAGGTGCAATGGGGGAGCTGTATGAGCCAGAGATTGTTAAGCACACAGTTAACTCCCACAGACCGACTACTTCCTTCTTTTTTTATAGCCATTTCTTTAGGCAAGTCTCTCCTGGTATTTTAAAAATTCATTTTAATCAATTTAAAATTAATAAAGAAACAGTGAAATCCTTAGGGCCTGAAAGCTCCAATCTCTGCCACACTGGAAGTGATGAGTCAGCTCCAGCACGGCCTGCCATGGAGCCTGCTGAGGGACGCCTCCGACAAGCTGCTGCTGCGCTGAATTAGGTCACTTGGTTTGCTATTTACAGAGAGGCAACCGTCTCTGCAATTGGATGTTTCCTTCTTTCTGATGTGAAAGAGCTGCTGTACTCCGAGGGCAAAACCGCCGGTGACACCTCGCTGTCACCACAGATGCTGTGGCTCTGTCCTGTGCACTTACCAGGCAGGAGCATGACTGAGCCTCTCTGAGAGGAGCGAAAGGACTGCGGCCGCCAGCAGCAGGACACGGCGACACGCAGGGTCCCATCCCACTCTAAAGTGCCGCGCGATGTCTCCTCAGAGGGACTCCGGACTCCTGCCCTGGTTACTAACCCATGGTCTGCTCGGGCCAGGAATAAAAACCAGCAATCCTGAGAGCCAGTCCTCTGGCTCATGCCTCCGCCCAAATCCAAGACTGACGCCCAGGCCCAGCTCCGCTTGCTTCACAAGAGAACACACGCTCCCTCGGCGCCAGAGCAGAGCCACAATGCTTCCTCGCTAATCATCCGGGTCTAATTGCCGTGCCACGGTCCTAACAGGCAGCTCCTACGGCAGCTCTCCAGGGGATTAACATTAAGCCTCTGCTTTGTATACTAATGCGGCACGTGAGGAAAAGCAGTTCCCACCCTGTGTGCCCACAGCACGTGAGCCACGCAGGCCGGTCACCAGCATGTCTGTGGGCCATGGCAGCGCTTGGATGCCAGCACCCCAGCAGGGCCAGCCTGGGGCAGCAGCAGACCAGATGGCAGCGGGAGGCTGGCATCCGTGGGCTGTAGGCAGAAGAAATGCTCTGCCCTGCTCCCCATGCCCAGTGCCAGGGGACGAGGGAGGCTGAGGAGCTGTTACAGTGCTCTTGCAGCATGAAAGTTCCCAGCTTGCAGCAGGGGAGCAGGAACAGGACTAACGGAAGGGCAGAAGCCCTAGTAGTCTGCTCACAACATCCCTGCGTTTGGTCCTCTCTACCTGCTGACAAGGCTCAGGCTTCCCCAGCACACCCCTTCTTGGGCACCCTAAGGAAGGGCACAGGGATCCCCAATGCTGAGGGCCATTCCCTAAAGGTGTGTGATGCGACTACTGTTCCCCTGGGCTCGGAGAAGGGGGACAGGAAAGCTGTATGCCAGCCCTTTTGGGAACAGCCAGGCTCTGCTGGAAGCAGAAAGGCTGCCCATCAGCTGGCAGCTATGCTGAAAAGCAGATCTGAATCACCACCAGCTTACAGCATGTATCTGAAAACATCGGTGACCCACTTTAGAAAAATCAAGCGTATATGTCCCACGACAGCCGGCACCACCTCCGCATCTCTGCCCAGCTCCGTTCCGGCATGGAAAGGACTGGCCAGATGGGAAAGCAGAGAAGTCAGCTCAACTCCCTTGCCCTGGCAGCCTCCATGGCCCAAACTCTCCTCTCAGGCTCCTCGATTTTGTTCCTAGGTGCGGTTCACCTTATGTCAGTTATTCCTCCCCTGTGCTGGAGCAGCAAGAGAATCAGACACAGTGAGGGTCTCCCCTCGGCGAGAGAGGAACATGCAGTGCTCGGCTGGGCTGTACAACAGGGAACAAACAGTCACAAAGAACTGCTTGCGCTTTCTCAAAAGAAGCAGTTTCACTTCCCCTACAAGCAGTGGCTCCAAATAACAAGATGCCTTGAGTAATTAACTGAATGTTCTTTGGATAGAGCTTGTAAAAGGAGCTTATACATATTAAACAAGAAAGAAAGATCTACTGTCTATAACTTGTTCTTTACTAACAAACAAAAGGCTTGGACTGAATGCATTTTAGAGCAAACTTTACAAGGACCTTACGCTGAAATTATTCAATAGAAAGAACTGAACAAAGTCCAGGGCATTTGTGAGGGGTTGACCACAAAAAGCAAGGTTTGTGGACCGTTTGTTTGTTTTTTTAAGAAAATCAAATACTCCCTCTTCTTTGGCATTAACATGACAGAGCTGTAAAGGCTTTGCAGTAGCACTGCATTAGCCTCCAAGAAACACACAAAACAACTGCTCCCTTAGCTAGATCAGCTGCTAGAGCAAGTGTTATAGTTGCCATTATCAGAGCTGAAAGTGGAAATTCATTAATGCACTGAAGGACAAAGGATCTTCTCTGTAACAAGGGCCTGTACAGCGCTAGGTGCTGGGACTGCAGTATCTCTGCATCCTGACATATGCTTGCCCAGCGTAGCCTGCTGTTGCATCGGGAGAAGTAATACTTTGGTAGTAAGGCGAAACAATTCTACTCTATGAATCGCTATTTTTTACTTGCAACAAGAACCAAAAGCCAATGTTCTACAGTCAAGATAAGATAATCACAGCAACATGGAGCTCTTCTAGGTAGAAACACAACAGCTACTCAGCATCAGCATTACTATGTAAGACTCAGATGCTCCACTGTATTTGGAATATATTGCAATAGCAGGCAGTTAATACTGCTGTATGGTCTGTGAAAAATGGTATGTAAAGGAAATATGGGGAAAATGTTGTAATTATTTAAATGGGTTTGTTTTGATACCACCAGAAAAAAACCTGCCTGAGTAAACCGGTATTTAGCCCTTTATCTTTACAAATGGCCTTTAAAGAATAAAAGAGCTGCTGCCCTCCTGTGCCTCTGCCCTGAATCTGGTGTTATATTCACGTGGGAGCAGGCAAAAGCAGCCATGTCATGTAGCAGCAAGAGGCACCAGGAAAGCCTTGGGAGGCCAGCAGAGGCAGAGCTCACCAACTCCCATCCCCCAAACAACCCAGCCCAAGAAAACCCAAAGGGGACATCCCCACACACAACTGCACGAGGTGACTTCTACGATCCTGCAATTCAGTGTGCTAGCTGAACACACCTAGTTTGGCCAGTAAAACGTTAAAAGCTGCTGCGTTCTTCTACTAACCGGAGAAAGCTTTGATGATGTGACCTTTCCCAGCTGTTGGTAACTGGCTCAGTACAAAAGGTCAGGCTGGGAGTTATCCACAACACAGGGCTTTCCATACTCCTGGCAGACTGTCTCATGCCAGCTATTCTGGAAACCAACTCAAGCACAAGTGGTATATGACCTGGGAAGACAGAGACAAATCGGCTGCCACAGAGAGAAGAGCAATCAGAGGTTGGAGGACCAGGCTCACTTTTGAGTCCAATTCCTGCTCTGGTAAATGACCTCTTTCTCACAACAGCCTTCAGAAGGGTCCAGCTACTTCAGAGACCCAGAGCTCTAACATTCTTGCTTACCAGCTGCCTAAACTCACATATGTCTGTGTTTCTAAAGTTACAGTCTCGGGAGACCTAGAAAAAGATTTTCTGAATATACTGGGAAGCACATCAGTCTTAACACTGCAGAGCAACCTAGTGTCTATTTTGTGCCTAAGCCTCTCGTATTCAAGAAGTTGGTTTGTCTTTTCCAGAGACGAGCAATGTGACAAAATTATTTCCTGCTCACCTATTAATATTCAGCTGTGATAGAGACAAAAGGTTTTGGCTCATGCCCTCATTTGTTTACTGAAGAGAAATAAAGATGAACCAAAATGGCTGAACATTTCTTTTTTAAATTAATAAGTGGG